GATAAGTATACATTTTTAAAATTTTAATTTCTGTAGCAATATACATTAATAGGTCTTATTCACATAAATAAAACCTCATTTGAGATCCTTAATGATTTTTTGCTGTTGCAGAGACATCAGGCTGGTTTGAATGATTTGCTCCAAGTTTTAGGGTATTTGTTCTCTTCTTTGCTGATTAGTCTAGAGAAGTAGGCACTCTGAAAGCTACTTGTGTGTGTGGTTGTCAGAGGCCTCAGGAGGCAGTAACACCTCTCTGACTTTGTTTGAGACAGGATTTCTTCTGTTGACTCTGGTGTAAGCCCTGCTGGCTGGCCCACCAGCTTCCTGCGATTCTCTGGGTTCCATGATACTGGCATGCAGGGATACTGGATCCAGTTCTTATTTAAGTTCAGGTTGTTCGACTTGTGTAGTAAGTGCTCCACCTGCTGAGCTGTCTCCTCAGCCTGAAAATTACTTCAGGTGGGGGTGAGGTGGTTGAGTTAGGATCTTGCTGTGTCGCTCTTGCTGGCCTAAAATAAATGGCAGCTTTCTTGTTGTTTTCTGTGTGCTGGGATTACAGCTTTGAGCCACCATGCCTGACCTGAAAGCTGTTCGTCTCACCCACTACTTCAAGATGCAAGTCTAGTGGGTCAGCCTGGAGGTGATATGTACCTGCACCATGGAAGTGACTTCACTCTGCCTTTTCTCTGTTCCCTTAGGTTAGTCGGTGTGAGACCGTCTACTGCTTTGCTCTTCAGGGTTAACAGTTCTGTTGCGCTTGTGGTTTGCTCTTCTATTAGTGGTGGTGGGTGTGAGCTCTTCACAAGCAGTCAGTCTAGACGGTGCTTCTTAATCGATGTCTTCTGGCAAGTAATACAAATAGGCAGCTTACACTGAGACATGTATCTTGGCTCTCAGGATGGTCTATGGGGCTGGGAAACTTGGGGTCACTAGGTTAATTATGCTGCTTTAACCAAATAGACAATAAGGTAAGGTAGGGAGGGTGATGGTGTGTGTGCCTGTGTGCAACCTCGGGTATATTTCCTGGGGTTCCATCCTCCCTGAATTTTTGGTACAGGGTCTCACTGACTAGGAAGTTGGTCAGTAGGCTAGGCTGACTGGCCAGAAAGCCCTAGAAATTTGACTGTCTCCACCACCAGTGCTGGTATTACAAGTGTGCACCACCAAGCCTGTAGGTCAGAGGATCTTCACACTTGGAAGGCAAACATTTTACCATTAGATTATCTTCCCAGTTGCCCAACAGTAGTGGCACACACCTTTAATCCCAGCATTTAGAAGGCAGAGGCAGGGAGATCTTTGTGAGTTTGAGGAGGCCAACCTGGTCTCCAGGAAAGCTAGGCTACACAGAGAAACCCTGTCTCAGGGGGGAAAAATTTATCTCCCCAGTCACAAGTTTTACTTTTCTTTCTTCCTTCTTTCCTCCCTCTCCTCCTTAAAGACAAGGTCTCACTATGTATCCTGGTTGGCCTGGAACTTGTTATGTAAATCAGGCTGGCCTCAGTTCTTCATTGTACCCTGAACTAATGCAAGCAAAATTGACCTGTGCTAGCTCTAGGGTATCGAGTTCATTCCAAGGTCAGGTGACAGTGATGAGGATCTTAGCTCTACTGTGAATAAGGTGCAGACTTCCCGTATAACCCTGCTGAGGGTATTAGTGGCACCAAGACTGAGGTCATCTGTTCTGGTGAAAACAATAATAGCTATGCCTTGAACACAGGATCTTCATGAGATTGCAGGCATGTGTCACCACTCAAAGCAAAGTCTCATGTAAGCCCAGACTGCCCTCAGACTTACTAGGTAGCTAAGGATGAACATTGAACTCCTAATTCTCCTGTTTCTCCCTCCCATCTAGTGGGATTACAGAGAATTCTGAGGTTCAAGCCCAGGGTTTGGTACTTAGTAGGCACATTAGTCTACCAACTGAACTATATATCCTGATTCATTAAAGGCTATTTCTAATGAATGTTTACTAACAGGTGCCAAACTAGGCATGCATCTTGTCATTTCATCTTTAAAATAACTTTGGGAGTGGGGTGGGGGGCAGCAAGATGGCTCAGAGGTTAAGAGCACTGACTGCTCTTCCAGAGGTTCTGAGTTCAGTTCCAGCAACCACGTGGTGGCCATCTATAGTGAGATCTGGTGCCCCTTCTGGCATGCCGGCATATATGCAGGCAGAACCCTGTATACATATTAATCAATCAATTAATTAATTAAATTTTCATTGTGGTCTGGTGGTGCACACCTTTAATCCCAGCACTTGGGAGGCAGAGGCAGGCTCTGTGAGTTCAAGACCAGCCTGGTCTACAAGAGGTAGTTCCAGGACAGTCTCCAAAGCCACAGAGAAACCCTGTCTCAAAAAACCAAAACCGGCTCGTATGTCTGAGGTTTTGAGGCCAGCCTGCACAATATAATTTCAGGCCAGCCAGGGAGACTTCTGCCTCAAAAACAGCAACCACAAAACCTTGGTGAGATGGAGAGATGGCTGAACACTTATAGCACTTCGAGTGTTTATTGCCTTTCCAGAGGAGCCAGTGGGTCCCTAGTGCTTGTGTGGACAACTCACAAGCTCTTGTAATTCCAGTCCCAGAGTCTGACATATCTGACTTCTGTGGGCACAGAATTAAAAATATTTTTTTCTTTTGGTTTTTCAGTGTAGCCCTGGCTGTCCAGGAACTCAGACTGGCCTTGAACTCACATAGATCCTCCTGCCTCTGCCTCCCAAGACTGGGATTAAAGACGCTTGCCGCCACCACCCAGCTGACAAATATTTTAAAATAAGTAAATAAATTAACCATTGATAGATGTTCATTCTGTGGGCATTTGACTTCCTTAAGGCTTCTCGGATACTTTATCTAACTCCAGGCCTAAGCTTTATTCACCTTCAAGTGCCCTTGCGTTGAGGAAGTGACTTGGGTAAGGGCTAAGAGCAGGACCCACAAAGGCTGTTTTCTGCTTTGGGATCTTCATACAGTTATGTAACTACGAGAATTTGATAGGAACCTGTCAGTCTCTGGTTCGACATGGACTCAGCGAATGCTACTTAATCCCAGATGGAAGCAGAGATCCAGTAGAGCAAGTCACATCTAGACCAGTCAGCTGGTCACTGAATGTTATTGTTAGGGTTCCTGTGTTCTAAAACACTATAACCAATAGCAACTTGGGGAGGAAAGGGTTTGCTTCAGCTTATACTCCATAGTTAGGGCAGGAGCTAATGGTGAAGCCATAGAGGGGCGCTGCGTATCGGCTCACTGAACCTTAGTAAATAAAATAAAAATGTTGTCTATTGTAACACAAGTTCTAATAGGTCTTCATAATAAAAGCCTGGAGTCAGGTATTAGGGGGTGAAAGCTGAAAGATCAGAGAAGCAAAGCTGTCAGCCACTAGAGCTCTTACCTCTACAGAATCCTTAGGCTGAAAAAAAGACGGAGAGCCTGTCTCAAGATATCATTACAGTCTATTATCTGTGTTAACAGAGACTTTGAACATAAGCCTGGGGGTTTAATAGCAAATAGTAATATAGCACTACCACCTAGGTGGAGAAAGCACATTATAGCTGTGGCTAAGACTGTGCTCTGAGCCAGGCAGTGGTAGCCACGCCTTTAATCCCAGCACTCGGGAGGCAGAGGCAGGCGGATCTCTGTGAGTTCAAGGCCAGCCTGGTCTACAAGAGCTAGTTCCAGGACAGCCTCCAAAGCCACAGAGAAACCCTGTCTCGGAAAAAAAAAAAAAAAAAGACTGTGCTATGAATAGTGTTTGCCTGGAATTTCCATAAAATAAAATCAGTGGGCCAGGTGGTGGCAGCTCATGTCTTTAATCCCAGCACTTAGGGGGTAGAGGCAGATGGATCTCTGTGAGTTTGAGGCCAGCCTGGTCTACAGAGTGAGTTCCAGAACAGCCAAGGATACACAGAGAAACCCTGTCTCAAAAAAGCCCAAAACAATATAAAATAAAATAAGTCTTTGCCTGGGGTTCTTTTTTTTTTTTTTTTGGTTTTTCGAGACAGGGTTTCTCTGTGGCTTTGGAGGCTGTCCTGGAACTCACTTGGTAGTCCAGGCTGGTCTCGAACTCACAGAGATCCGCCTGCCTCTGCCTCCCGAGTGCTGGGATTAAAGGTGTGCGCCACCAACGCCCGGCTTGCCTTGGGTTCTTTATAGAAGAAAAAATAAAATATCTCTTTATAAATTATTTATCCTTATTTTATGTGCATTGGTATTTTCCTATATGTGTGTCTGTGTGAAGGTGTCAGATCCGCTAGAGCTGTAATTACAGTTATGAGCTACCCTGTGGGTGCAGGGAATAGAATCCTCTGGGAGAGCAGCCAGTGTTCTTAACCACTAAGCTATCTCTCCAGCCCCAATAATAAAGTTTTCTATTCTCAATCCTCAGAAATAATAAATGCTGAACTGGGGACTTGGTTCTGAGCCAAGAAGAGGGATCGGTGGTTAAGGGCTTGTCTTGAGGGCCTTTGTTGATTCCCCAGAGTCCACATAAAGCTGGGCAGTGCAAGCACTTCTGCAATCCCAGTGTTCCTGCAGTGGGGTAGAGTTGTTCACAGGCCCACTGTGTGCATTCACAGTAGCAAACAACAAAGGTGACTCTGTCTCAAACAAGGTAGAAGTCAAAGACCAGCATCTGAGGTTGTCTCTGACTCTGCAAGTGTGCCATGGTGCGTGTACACGCATATGCACATACACCGTGCATTTCTAAAAAGAGGAGGTGGAGACAGTCAGATTTCTAGGGCTTTCTGGCCAGCCAGCCTAGCCTACTGGACAACTTCCCAGTCAGTGAGACCTATACCAAAAATCCAGGGAGGATGGAACCCCACCATGCCTGGGTCCAGTCCACCATTTTAAAATAGGTCTCTTTAAGTGCGTCAGTGGCAGAGTATGAAACCAAATAACAAATTTCTAGTTCCTAGTCTTATGTTTCTCACATTAATTTCTTCAGATAATGACCTAGTAAACTATATTTAGAATTGAACCTTGGATTTTCTGTTACAGATTTATTGCCAAACCCTGTGCACTCCATGTTGGCATCGAAGATAGTGTTCTCTATCGGGTCGAATCCAATGACACCCTTGAGAAGGTGTTCATATCTATTACTAAGGTAAGTAAGCAGAGAACAGGAGACGGAAGTCACATGAAGGTTGCCGTGTCATAGAGCTTGTAAGAAAAGGTCCGGTAGGAGGCAATGCTTCTTCCCGTTTGGCTGTGTGCTCTGCACCTCTGTGGAGAGTATTAGCCCGTACTCACTACTGTACTTCACACACCTGTAAGTTGTACTCCTTAGCATCTAGGTCTGCCTGAACTCCTCTACCTAAACACAGGTTCTGTCTTATTTTCCCTTTTCTTGCACCAGCTTCTAGTCAAGATGAGTGTGTTTCTAGTGGCCTTTGCAATTTTTGGTTTTGGTTTGGTTTTATTTGGTTTTAACATGTATAGGAATGTTTTGCCTGCGTGTATGTAATGTGCCCTACATGTGTGCCTGGTGCTGATGGAGGCCAGAAGGGCATTGGATCTCCTGAAATCTGAGTTACAGATGGTTGTGAACTGCCATGTGGGTGCTGGGAATTGAACCCAGTTCCTCTGGAAGAGAAGCCAGTGCTCTTAACTGCTGAGTCGTCTCTGTAACTTCCAGTTTATATTTTGAATGTTTTTTTGTTTTTGTTTTTGTTTTTTAAAGACAGGGCTTCTCTGTATAACAGCCCTGGCTGTCCTGGAACTGGCTTTGTAGACCAGGTTGGCCTCAAATTCATAGAGATCCACCTGCCTCTGCTTCTGGAGTACTGAGGTTAGAGGTGTGCACCAACACCCAGCATTATTTATTTCTAAAACTTAATTTTGGAGTTGAAATTAGAAAAAATAGAACCATTTTGTGTGTGTCTGTTGTGTAAATGAAAATGCAAATGATAGTGAAAGTATAAGATGCTAAGTTGCTCTAGAATTGACATTCTTACTGTATAGAAGTTTATTTATCAAGATGTGTAGCGTTTGACACTGGAAAAATGTTTGTCTTAAACTAATAGTGTGATATTTTTATTTGTAAGTTTATTAGAATAAAGTGGCTTTGTTTAAAAATGATTGGGGATAAGACCTAGAAAGGTAAATACCATTTAACTCACTGTAGTTGTCACCTCTTTGCCACTTAACTTGTAAATTGGGAGTTTGTGGAAAAAGGGTGTTCTAACTCTGATTATACATCTACAGTATCCTGATGAGAAAAGGCTGGAGGGCCTATCAAAGCAACTGGACTGGGATGTCCGAAAAATTCAATGCTGGTTTCGACATCGGAGGAATCAGGACAAGCCTCCAACGCTGACTAAATTCAGTGAAAGCATGTATGTGTGCGGAGGGGAGTAGAGAGCCAGGGGTGGGGTGTAGCCACACTGTTTAGTTCACTGTTAGGATAGTAAAAACAGACTCAATGCTCAAGATAAAATTTAAAAAGCCAGGTTGGAGCTGACTCTGGCTTTTTAGATATCAGTTTTGTTCCAATGTGCTATCCTGATTCTCTAGCCTGAAAGAAGAATGTTTAAGAGTGCATTTATCTAACCTCTACTCTTTGCTCACCCAGGTGGAGACTCACTTTTTATTTATGTGTGTTCTGCTACGGAATTAGATTTCTCTGGTTGGTGAGTCTAAACTCTTTCTGTCCTCTCATTGGGATCTACAAGTGTCTAGATGCCTCAGTTTCTAGAAGTAAACATTAAGTACCTTCAGCTGTTTGTATTGCTTTTTGAGATAAGGCTGGCCTTGACCCTTCTCCCTCAGCCTCTGCACTGCTGGGTTTTACAGGTGTGTGCCACCACCACTCCCAGTTTACGTAATTACTTTTCCTTAAGTTTTTCTATTGTGCTGCATAGTCTCAGTTTAAATGCAGTTTATAGACAATATAAATCAAGGATTATATATATATATTATATATATATATATAAAATCTTCCTTGGGTTTGACTTCACTAAACTCAAGACTTAACAATTTTCCTCTGTTCTCCCTTGGGGGCTGGAGAGATGGCTCAGAAGTAAGAGCATTGGCTGCTCTTCTAGAGGTCCTGAGTTCAATTTTCAGGAACCAGATGGTGGCTCTCAACCATCTGTAATGAGATCTGGTGCTTTCTTCTGGTGTGTAGGCAGACATGCAGATGGAATACTGTATACATAATAAATATTTTTTTAAATTGTTATTTCAGGAGGAAATCAAGTTGATAACCATTCATGTATTTGTTTTATTTTGAGATGCAGTCTCCTATGTAGCACTGGCTGGTCCTGGCACTTAGACCAGGCTGACCTGAAACTAAGTTATCCATTTGCTTTTCCTCCAAAGTACTAGGATTAAAAGTTCCTGCAATCACCCACCTCACCTCTCCTGCTCTCACTAAAACATACCTCACCAGACTTTCCCTGCCCCCTCACTGGAATTGCACAGCTCCGGTGGTTTATGTGGTAGCTGGGGAGCCTAACAGGTCCTCACACTTACATAGGAAGTACTTCACCAACTGAGCTCTCACCTTGTCTCCCAAAATTTTGTTTGTTTTAAGACAAGCTATGAGAGTGGTGGTGGAAACCCTGTCTTGAAAAATCAAAAAGAAAAAAAGACTCTCATTATGAATTCCAGGCTTGCTGTGAACTCATGCCAATCCTCCTGTCTCAGCCTCTCAAATACTGGGATTAGAGGCAAGACACTTATCATGCCTGGTTTGGGTTTTGGATTTTGGGTTTGTTTTGGTTTGGTTTGGTTTGGTTTTTCGAGACAGGGTTTCTCTGTGGCTTTGGAGGCTGTCCTGGAACTAACTCTTGTAGACCAGACTGGCCTCAAACTCACGGAGATCCACCTGCCTCTGCCTCCCGAGTGCTGGGATTAAAGGCATGCACCACCTCCTAACTTCTATATTTTAATTTTTAAAAATTGCAAAAATAAATGTAAATTTTAAAAAGGAAGAACAAAACAAGGGGGCTGGAAAAACACATTAGAAAGAAGGGGAAAGAAAAAAGGAACTGGAGAGACACTCAGTGGTTAAGAACAATTGCTGCTTTTCTAGAGGAACTGAGTTCAGTTCCCAGCACCTGTATCATGTGTCTCACAACTGCCTGTAATTCTAGCATAGAGGGATCCAACACCCATTTATAGCCTCTGTGGGTGCTGACATGTGTGTGACAAGTATACACATAAATAAAAAAATGTAAAGATATAAGCTGTAAGAAAAGAAGAACAAAGTAAATTAAAGAAAAGAAACAATCAGCGGTAGAAATTGTAAGTGTGGCTCACTTAGTGAAGTCCTGGATATGATACCCAGGACTGTGGGTTGAGGGGGGAGAAATTAATGAAATAGTCATTAGACAAATAATGGATAAAACCAAATGTCAGTTCTCCAAAAGGTTCAGTTGAAATTAATAACTCCACACAGGTGCAGTGGCATCTACCCGTGATCCAATGCTCAATCAACTAATGCATGAGGTTTGGGAGTTTGAAGCCATTCTAGACCCCATCTCAAAAAGAAAAGAAAATAGATAAACTATAGATGGGGGAAATATGAATTACTAATATACAGGGACTGTCACTATAGACCTTCTGGATCCTACTGAAAGGACATAAAGATAGTGTTGAGCACTTTAAAAATTAAACATTTGCTGAGCCTAGTGGCACACACCTTTAATCCCAGCACTTGGGAGGCAGAGTTAGGTTGAGAAATGGTGTGCACTCTTTATACCTCTGTGCCATCTCTCAACCCAAGCCCCTGAATTTTAAAAGATGGGTTTTTAAACTATGGAAGTGTATTTGTCTATGCACATGAGTGCAGGTGCCTGAAAATGCACACTATTCTTGTAGAAGATCTGAATTCCATTCCCAGCCACCCATACTGGAGATTCACAATCACCTGTAAGATTAGCTCCAGGGGCCGGGCGGTGATGGCGCACGCCTTTAATCCCAGCACTCGGGAGGCAGAGGCAGGCGGATCTCTGTGAGTTGGAGGCTGGGCTGGACCAACAGCCTCCAAAACAATATAGAGAAACCCTGTCTCGTAAAAACCAAAAAAAAAAAAAAATTAGCTCCAGGGGATTTGACATCCTTTTCTGGCTTCTGGGCACGCATTCACATGCACAAACCCACAAGGATGGGTGGGTGGATGGATGGATGGATGGGTGGATGGATGGGTGGGTGGGTGGGTGGGTGGGTGGGTAGTAGGTAGGTAGGTAGGTAGGTAGGTAGGTAGGTAGGTAGTTTTAAATCCTTCTTCACAATTTGGGGCTAGGAAGTTAAGTATGTTGGGTCAGGTGCTTCCAATGAGAGTGTGAAGACCTGACTTGGGATCCCTAGGGCCTCTGTGGTACAGGCTGGCCTAGAACTCAGAGCAGTCTTCCTGCCTCTGCATGCACCACAAGACCTAGCTAGTCTTTGGTTTGTAGTTCAAGTTGGTCCAGAACCCACTGTACAGCCAAACTACTCTCCAACTCAAAATCCAGTACTCGAGAGGCAAAGGCGGGAGGATTTCTGAGTTCAAGGCCAACCTGAGCTAAATGGTGAGACTGTCTCAAAAACAGAGCGAGGTTTTTTTCTCTTTTTGCCTCATCTTCTGTTGTGATGGTGATTTGCTTTGGTTTTTTTGTTTTTGTTTTTGTTTGTTTGTTTGTTTGTTTTTTGAGATAGACTCTTGCTAGGTAACCCTGTCTGGCCATTAACCTACTTTTTGGTTCAGACTGGCCTCAAATTGACATCACTGCTTAAGCCTCCCACATGCTGGGATTATTGGTGCACCATCACATGTAGATTTCCTCTTTCTTGTACCCTAGCGTATAGAAAAAGACTATATAGGGTAGATCTTGTAACAGTGTAGGGAACTAAAGGCCAAACTGAATTATGTTTTTTTCCTTAGACACCTTGGTTCTGGGACACTCGACAGTGCTGGCAGAACTATCCATATCAGGTAGGATCTAAGTTGTTTCAAGACTATGTGTGTGTAAGGTAGGGTGGATGAGAGTTGACTGTCAATCCAGGACAGGTAGCCAGGCATAGTTCCCCAATACTGTAAACCAGTCCTTTTAAGTCATATATTGCAGGTATCTATATCCAGGCCACTAGCAGAAATTCCTTAGTGAGGTTTAGTCTAGGTTATGCTTCTGCATGTCCCCATTGTACTGGAAAGAAAAGCAGTTCCCTAGTGTTAATAAGGCCCTTCCTGAATCTGATCTCTTCTCTTTTAATCAGGAGCTCTTAGAATCCTCATGAGGGCATCTTGATTCTAGTCTATGCTTTAAAAGTATCAGGGAAAGGAAAGACTGATGGAAGAGGGGAGGCCTAAGGGAGTTCTGTCCAGAACCCCAGATGCAGCACTGACAGGATTGTGGTGTGCATGTGTTAGCCTTACGTCATCTCTGGAAGATGAGATCCAAGGTGAGCTTACAGACGCACAAAGGAAAAGGTTGGCGTCTCACTGATCCAGTCTCAGCCATTGCAGAGCTTGGGAAACAGTGAAGAAGAAAAGGACTAAATAGTGTGGGTGCTACAGAGATGGGGTGCACCTGCCTAGCTGCTGTTGTAGCTGCTCTTTTCTCTTCCAGCCACTCTCAAGAGAGCTTTATTACTACTACATCATGGAACTGGCCTTCTACTGGTCTCTTATGTTTTCCCAGTTTATAGATGTTAAAAGAAAGGTAAGTTGTCAGCCCTTGCTGCTTTCTATCAGTCACTACCATCTATGGTCACTACCGTCGTGATGCACTCTCCCTCATGTGAGAGGCTGGGTGTGACAGGACTGTCACCAGCTTTCCATAATGTTTCCAGAAATGAAACCTAGCTAGTGATGGAATGTGTTTAAGGTGGTCAGGACACTGGGGAGAACAGCAAGGCCACAGATAAGCATGTCCTGTTCTTTTGTATCAAAGCTCAGCGAATTAGACAGAACTTGGGGTACCAAGGCCTGATTCAGAAAAAGGCTTGATTTTAGAAAACCAAGATTCAGGGCTGGAGAGATGACTCAGGTTAAGAGCACTGACTGTGCCGGGCAGTGGTGGCGCACGCCTTTAATCCCAGCACTCGGGAGGCAGAGGCAGGCGGATCTCTGTGAGTTCGAGGCCGGGCTGGACCAACAGCCTCCGAAACAATACAGAGAAACCCTGTCTCGTAAAAACCAAAAAAAAAAAAAAAAAAAAGAGCACTGACTGCTCTTCCAAAGGTCCTGAGTTCAATTCCCAGCAACCACATGGTGGCTCACAGCCATCTATAATGAGATCTGGTGCCCTCTTCTGACATGCAGGCATACATGCAGACAGAACACTGTATGTATAATAAATAAATAAATCTTTAAAAAAAAGAAAACCAAGATTCAGAAAAGACTTACCTCTATATTATATTATATTATATAACCCGTATTATATTATATTATATAACCTGATGGGAAGGACAGAGCCTTCATATCCACTTCCTCCTCCCACTGTGTGTTTCATTGGGGAGAGAAGTGTGTACTAAGTATTCCAGCTCCAGCTGCTTTTGTTCCCCTGTGACCACAACCCTGACAGGAGCACTCTGAAGATAAAAAGTTGCTTTTGGTTCAGTGTGAGAATTTCCTCCATCATGGCAGGGAAAGTATGGCAGTAGCTTAGTTCATAGCCACAGAAGTAGTGGTGGGACCAGCTATGTCACTGAACCAGGAAGCAGGGAAAGAGCTCTAGGAGCCATAGCCACTGGCCTGATACAGTCTTCCAAGGCCAGCTACCTAAGCTGTGGCCAGCTGGGGCCTACCATTCCTCAAGCCTCCCAAGACAGTGCCACCACCTGGGCAAAAGTCACCCGGAATGCAAGCCTGTGGGGAGGGCACTTCACACCTAAACCACATCTAATAATTATTTATATGTAAAATATGTAAATTTATACAATGTATAATATATAAGTAACATATTTACTTATAAAACTGAGATTTCCTTAGTTTTAATTTTGCATGTGAGCCCAAGGAGGGAAAAAAAGATGAATTGTTTAGCTAATCAGCAGTTCTCCAGCACTTCTAAGGTCCATTTTGGTTCTGGGTATGTGTCTGTGTGTAAGTCTGTCCAGATGTCCACAGAGGCCAGAAGATGGTGTCAGATCCCTTGGAGCTAGAGTTAGAAGCACTTGAGAGCCACCTGCATGGGTGCAGGGAGCCAAAATGCTTTTAGTCACTGAGCCAAGGGAGCATTGGGTCAGCATGCGGCATTCCCACAGCCTCTCCTTTGCTGCCATTACTTTCTAGGACTTCCTGATCATGTTCGTGCATCACTTGGCCACCATTGGGCTTATCACCTTCTCTTACATCAACAACATGGTTCGAGTGGGAACCCTGGTTATGTGTCTCCATGATTCCTCAGACTTCTTGCTGGAAGTAAGAACTCAACATGCTGCTCATCATTCCTCTTTCCCTTTCTTGACATGTGAGAACTGACTTTCTCCCCAACTCCATTTTTTTCTTTTGTCCAGGCTGCCAAGCTGGCCAATTATGCTAAATATCAGCGGCTCTGTGACACCCTCTTTGTGATCTTCAGTGCAGTTTTTATGGTTACTCGTCTAGGAATCTATCCATTGTGGTAAGTGCTCAAGGCTGTGAACTGTGGTAGGTATCTAATGATACCTCTTGCCAATCTAGTTTTTCTGTTCTGTTCTTGCTGGTCAAATGCTAAGAACCCCAGTGCCCTGCCTTTCCCTTGAGTTAGGCTGAGCCTTTGAAGCTGCCTCATGCAATACTTCTAGTGAGCCAGATGTGTGCATTATTTACTTCTGGATTTTCATGCTCATTTCTGCCAGCAGCTTTCATCTGTGCTTAAGTCACTCATCTCTCCTTTACCCTTTTTGCATTGGTTACAGGGACTCTCACTTTTCTTGCTTTCATCTTGCCGTATGCCCTCCTCCTCATCCTGACCAACACAGACATGTGCACGCATTTCCCTCTATACTCATTACCTAGACTATGAAGCTAGTGACTGTTGAAAATTTTGTTCAGTCTCAGCAAATCAACCACTTACTGCTTTCTGTACCTAAGAATCTAAACCATTCCTAGGATTATAGTCCTGCTGCTGTCCCAATGTTGTGAAGCCGCTTATTTGAAGTGATTAATAGTAGGGAACCCCATCTCTTCCTCTTGTCTCAGAAAGTGGACACACCATAGGCTCCTCTGTTTACTCATTCATTCCCTGTGAAAGAAGGTCTCTGTTATTGCAAAGAATGTGAGTGTGTGGAAGGGCACAGAAGACTGTCCTGGGACTCAGCTTCCTCTGCCTAACTGACCTCTAGAGTTTGACTGTTGTCTCCTCCTCCTAGGATTCTGAACACAACCCTCTTTGAGAGTTGGGAAATGATTGGACCCTACCCTTCCTGGTGGCTCTTCAATGGCCTTCTCCTGGTCCTACAGGTTCTACATGTCATATGGTCTTACCTGATTGCACGAATTGCTTTTAAAGCCTTGATCCGGGGAAAGGTAAGGCTGATGCATCCTTCTTACTTTGGACCCTGTAGAAGCATGGCTATTACTCAGCAGATCTCTGTCCAGCCTGGGGACCCTCAGCCACATGAGCCCCATAGTCAGGCAAGATATGCAGCTCAGTCACTAGAATGGAACCTGGATTTGGTCCAGGACCACATAAACCAGGCAAAGTGGCATATGTGTACCTGTCATCCTTTGCCACATAGTGAGTTTGAGGCCAACCTGTAAAACTTGACATCATATCTCAAAAATAAGCAAAAAAGAGTGGCTATTGATGTAAAGCTGAATATAGGACCTGGGAAGCCAGATGGTCGGATGGTGTAGGAATGAATAGTATGGTAGTTCACTAGCTATTGTAAGGTGACCATGCTGCAATGCACAAAATTGGTTTACATTAGGAACTAAACATCTGCCTCACTGTCTGAAGCAAGAGTCTTCAGTGAACATGTGTTTGGTTTTTAGTGCACAAAACACAAAGATACCCCTGCCTTTTCAGACAGTGTTGGAGGCTGAGCCCAGGGCCTTGTGCCTGGTGAATAAGCATCCTGCCACTCAGCTAATTCCAGCCCTGAGAGGTACCACTTAATATAGAACATAATTGAAATTTGAAGTTCTAAAGCAGTCACACTGTGCTAAGCCAGAGCACTGTCAGTTATGCAGAATCCCAAGAGGGATGGGCTCTGCTAGAGATGTTAGTTCCAGATTTATCTCTTGTCATTGCTCTTGGTGGCTGTAATTGGTTTCAGGACTTGTGTGGTGTGCTATGCCTATATTGTAGCTACTGGACATCTCTCTTCTCCTCTGCCTTTCTTTCCTGACTAGGTGACCTACACAGGAGGGATTAGACGCAGACTCTGTACCTTCTGCTCTCTTTTCACCTCCTTCCTCTTTTGTGTGCCTGGTGGGAGCTGGACAGTTTGTTTCATCCTTTGCATGTAAGTGCATCTATGCTTCTCGTGTTGAGAGAAGCACCTGTCTGGATGGGTTCTCCTTCCTGGTCTGTCTGTCTTAGAATGTGCTCGCTTGCCTAACCTATGTGACTGTGGTTGACTGGAGCTGAAGTTACCAGATTCCTTCCCTGAGTTACATTAAAGACTAAGTCTAGTCTAGACTTAGTCTTTAATGTGTTTTGCTTTTGAGCTTTTCCACCTCAGATCTGGAGACATTGTGTCCTCTGGTGGAAATTCCCTAGACATCATGATCACAGTTCTCTTCAGTTACGAGCCAACAGCTGCAGTTACTGCAGTCACAGAACTCATCTAAAGCAAATGCCTTTCCTTTATAACAACAGCTGGAGCCACGTCCCTTCACACAGTGCTTTTTTATTTTTATTTAAATTAGAAACAAGCTTGCTTCAAATGTTGATCCCAGCTCCCTTTCCCTCCTCCTCCTCCCCCTCCCCCTCCCACCCAGTCCCCACTCCACTCTCCAGGGAGGGTGAGGCCCTTCATGGGGGATCTTGAAAGTCTGTCATATCATCCAGGGCAGCATCCCTCCACGTGGAATGGGCTCCCAGAGTTCATCTGGATGCCAGGGATAAATACTGATCTATTGCCCGAGGCCCCAAAGAATGCCAACGCCTCCTCACTGACACCCATGTTCAGGGTTCTGGATCAGTCTCATGCTGGCCTCTCAGCTATCAGTCTGGGGTCCATGAGCTCCCCTTTGCTTAGGTCAGCTGTTTCTGTGGGTTCCACCCGCCTGGTCTTGACCCCTTTGCTCATCACTCCTCCCTCTCTGCAACTGGGTTGCAGGAGTTCAGTTCAGTGTTTAGCTGTGGGTGTCTGCCTCTGCTTCCTTCAGCCACTGGATGAAGGCTCTAGGATGGCATATAAGGTAGTCATCAATTCATTATTGGGGAAGGACATTTAAGGTAGCCTCTCCACTATTGGTTAGATTGCCAGTTGGTGTCATCCTTGTAGATCTCTGGACATCTCACTGGTGCCAGATCTCTCTTCAAACCTATAATGACTCCATCTATTATGTTATCTCTCATCCTCTCCTCTGTTCTTTCCCCAACTCAACCTTCCTGCTCCCTTATGTCCTCCTCTCCCCTCCTCTTCACCCCCTCTCCTTCTCCCAGCTCCCTCATCCCCTCAGGAGATTGTCCCGTTCCCCATACCTCTCTTAGGCTCCTCCACAGTGCTTTTAAAGCAGTGCATGCACCATTGTTTGTGTGTAGGGTCATCATCCTAAGGCAGGGTTCACTGGTTCCCTCTCCTTTATTTTTATGACCCAATATAGAAAAATTTGTGCAGAGTGACTCATTGGAAAACACGACCCTAATCCAAACCTTACATTTGGAAATACAAAAGGCAAAGTCAGAATTGGGAAGGCTCTCCATACTGGCTGCCCACCTGTCTTTGACTTTAGTGTCCTAGGGATGCCAAAAACTTGATGCTGAGCCTGGTGATAGCAGGTTCATGGGTCAGTTTGGTGAATAAAGCAGAACTCAGGATAAACAGGGTGAATAAATGTAGTGTCACAGTCATCAGAAGATAAAACCATGACAGCAGGCATTTGTATTGGCCTTCCCTGTTCTTTATGGTAGAAGATGGGAAAGGTGCTGGAGTTTTCCTCACACCTATATGGGGACTCAGCACATGTTTCTGGGTTTTTTGTTTTGTTTTGTTTTTTTAAGATTTATTTATTGTGAACACAACATCTTGCTTCCATTATGTCTGAACACCAGAAGAGGACACCAGATCTCATTACAGATGGCTGTGAGCCACCATGTGGTTGCTGGGAATTGAACTCAGGACCTCTGGAAGGGCAGTTAGTGCTTATAACCTCTGAGCCATCTCTCCAGCCCATGTTTCTGTTTTCTTAAGGTGTCCCTTAAGCAGCTGTAATGGCATAGATGAGAGAAAAAGCAGGCAAAAACCTATTCACAGTCGCAGTCCAGATATTTTCAGTTAACTGTCACCTTAACATAGACTAATCAGAAAGTGTCCAAAAGTAGTCTTTCTGCCCTGTTATTCTATGGGTAGCAGCATGTTTACTACCTTTGGTCCTGTCCTACTCAGGTGTCTAAGGATGATCGCAGTGACGTAGAGAGTAGTTCAGAGGAGGAAGATGAGACCACCCACACAAACAACCTCTCTGGTCGCAGCTCCAGCAATGGTGCCAACTGCGTGAATGGCCACATGACAGGCAGCCACTGGGCTGAAGAGCATGGGACTTGTAAAGCTGTTGGCAACCCACTCTTTGGGGCCTCCCCACATCTACAGTCTTGTGACTAGAGGGACTGCAAGGCTCTGAGGACCAAGGAACCAAACAGTTTCATGTTGTCAAGAAACTCTGCTGTTGCCGGGCGTTGGTGGCACACGCCTTTAATCCCAGCACTTGGGAGGCAGAGGCAGGCGGATCTCTGTGAGTTTGAGGCCAGCCTGGTCTACAAGAGCTAGTTCCAGGACAGCCTCCAAAGCCACAGAGAAACCCTGTCTCAAAAAACCAAAAAAAAAAAAAAAAAGAAAGAAAAGAAAAAAAGAAAAAGAAACTCTGCTGTTTTGTATTTAATGCCCCCTGGTCCTTTCAGTAATGTTATTTGCTCTGTGTTTGTCTGTTTTTGTTTGTTTGTGCATTATGCATATGGATGAGTTTCATCGACTGGGTTGGGGCACAGTTCTGGACCACTAGGCATTGCCTAGTCACTTCTGAACGCATTTCCAGCCCAGCATTGGCTGCATCTTGAATTATGCTGTCTCCAGACCATCTACGTCCTTGTCTCACAGCTCTTGAGGCTCTAAGTTCCTGGTCCATCTAAATAAATATTCAGCTCCAGGCTTTGGGAACAGTTCTTATGGAGCAGGAAGTAGTGTTTCATCTGATAAGCTAGATACCCAGAATCACTGTGGCCTCTAGCTACATCCCCTTCCCACCACCTGATAGTGACAGGGACAACTACTGATGCCCTGCTCTTTACTCAATGGTACGTAGGGAGGGGGGGTGGGAGAGGATGAGCTGAGATATTGAGGGCAGCAGCCACTGGGTGTGCTGTTAATGGTTTTATACTATTGTTTACTCTTCTGTAATTAAAGTGTTTCAACCCTCCTCTACTGTCTTCATCTCTTTAGTAAGTGTCTCTAATGCCCAAGTTAAATTTGGAGTTAGTTTTTGGAAACAGGGTCTGCAAGTCTGGCCTCAGACTTGACATCCTGCTACCTGAGCCTCCTCAGTACTTACTAGCATTACAGATTTTTTTTTCCTCCTGGGGGCTGGAGAGGTAAGTTAAGCAATTAGGAGCACAAGCTACTCTTGCAGAGGACCTAGGTTTGGTTTTTAGTACCCACCCACATAGGGCAGCTCAAAACTGCCCATAATTCCAGTTCTGGGGATCTGATGCGCCACAGTCCCCCGCATGGGTGTATGTAGACAGTTTCTTTCCCACCTCGTCCCACAGCTGTTTAGCCCCAAATAAACACACAGAGACTTAACAATAATTAGAAACTATTTGACTGATGGCTCAGGCTTCTTATTGGCTAGCTCTCTCTTAGATTAATAAAAATGGGTTAATAATTGTGTCCACGTGGTTTTATCTTACCAGAGAATGTCTGGTGTGTCCTATCTTCCTGGTAGCTACACGATGTCTTCTTAAGACTCTCTGCATCCTTTCCCCAGAATTCTCCTCTTGTAGCCCCACCTGTACCTCCTGTCTGGTTACTGGCCAATCAGTGTTTTATACATCAACCAATAAGAGAAACATCTGCAGAAGGACATCCCCCATTAGGTGTACACACAGACACATAAAATAAGTCTTTTTTTTTATTTCTAATTCAAGAGGCTCTTGGACATTCAAAATTTTTGTGCATGCTAAGAGGAATTAGCCAGAATGACTACATCTTTGAGCTTCATGTTTTAAGAAGTGACAAGTTTAATTGGTGTGTTGGCAGTTTTATGTCAGCTGGACACAATTATAGTCATTTTGGAAGAGGGAACCTCAATTGAGAAAATGCTCCAACTGTATTGGCCTGTGGGCAAGCCTGTGGTGCATTTTCTTGATGATGGATGGGGGAGGGTACAGCCCATGGTTGGTGGGGCCGTCCTTGGCCTGGTGGTCCTGTAAGAAAGCAGGCTGAGCAAGCCATAGGGAGCATGCAAGTAAGCACCACTCCTCCATAGCCTTTGCATCAGCTCCCACCTCCAGGGTCCTGCCCTGCTTGAGTTCCTATCCTGACTGCCTACAGTGATGAACAGCAGTGTAGAAGTGTAAGCAAAGTAAACCCTGTCCTCCCCAAGTTGCTTTTGGTTGTGGTGTTTCATTGCAGCAGCGGAAACTGACAAATGGCCACAGCAGCATTGCTCAGCAGAAAAATGAGAGTTTAGTGAGACGCTAAGACATCCTTAGAACCTATTCTCATCTCACCACAGAGCTAACGACTTAACATTAAGTCATAAATGGGTCTGCCATGTTTTCTTAGCTCTCTTTTTAGGTCTGTTAGCCCAGGGAGAAACTTGTCCTAATCCAGATCTTTCTCATGGAGTAATTATATTCCAGAATAAATTTTCTGCTTAGTGGTCATTTAAATTACAAAAATATCTCTAGAGGCTTTATGTACATGGAGATCTAGCTAGCATGATGGTGAAGAAGGCTGAAAGGTGTGTGTCTTGCTATAATGCCTGTGATCCCAACACTCGGGAGACTGAAACATGAACTGGAGGCTAGCCTGAGCTACACAGTAGAGACTTCGTCAGAATAAAAAAGAAATAAAGTGGCACTGGAAAGATGTTCTGTGGTTAAGAGCATGGACTCCTCTTAGGATTTCTCTGTGTATCTTTGAGGCCTATCCTGGCATTTGCTCTGTAGATCAAGCTGGCCTTGAACTCACAGAGTTCACCTACCTCTGCCTCCGGAGTGTTGGAATTAAAGGCATGAGCCACCACTGCCCAGCCAGAGAGGCCCCTTCATCTTTGCTTCCTGGCCACTGTGATAAGAGAATGTCTGTCAGGCCTGGAGAGAGGGCTCAGAGGTTAAGAGCTTCCAGAGGTCCTGAATTCAATTCCCAGCAACCACGTGGTGACTCACAACCATCTGTAATGAGATCTGGTTCCCTCTTCTGGACTGTGGACATACATGCAGACAGAATACCATATACATAATAAATAAATCTTAAAAAAAAAAAGAGTCAGGACAGCCTGTAGTAGTCAGCTCCTTCCACCACTGGTTTGAGGGATCAAATCAAGTCATCAACACAGTATTTTTTTTTCCTGTTGAGCCATCCCACCAGCCTGGGGAGTTATTTTACTCAGTAGAGTAAACACCTCTCAGTAGAGGGTGTTTTCTATATTCTGGGTGCTAGTACTTGGTTTTGCTTTATTGTTCTGTGTGATTGTATGCATGTACATACTTGTATGCATGATTGGCAGATGTCAAAGGACAATTTTATGGAGTCTGTCCTCACCTTCCATCTTTACATGGTCCTGGGCATTTAAGTCAGGTCCCTAGGCTCAAGCAGCCAGCACCTTTACCTTCTGAGCCATTTGGAATTTGGTGGTAGTTAAAATTCAGGGTTGTGTGCAATATCGTGCACACATTTCTCCAGAGAAATCCCAGACAGATGGTGTGTGTGTGTGTGTCTGTGTTTTGCCTGCATGTATGTTCTATGCCCCACATGTGTGTGTGGGGGCAGAAGAACTGGAGTTACAGAGTTACAGATAGTTGTGAGCCATCATGTGGGTGCTGGGCATCAAACCCAGGTCCTCTGGAAGAGCAGCAATGCTCTTGACTGCTGAGTCATCTCTCCAGCCCCGAAACCATTTCAACTTACCTGCAGAAGAGGACAAGTTGGTGTTTCACAGACTACACCGGAAACACTTGTAAGCTTTCAAATTCATATGAGGTGGGCCAGGGTTTAGAATTCCCCAGCCTCTAGTTCCACAGCCCAGGCAAGGAAACATCCTTGCTTTTTCCTTTGTTGAACAAGCAGTTTTGTTTCTGTTTTTAATCTACTCTCTTCAGGGCTGTTGTTCTTTTAGTGTCTCCATTTTAACCAATGGGTCTCTGTAATCAGCTTCCTCCATGTAGCTACTAGGTTTTCTCTGTGTAGCCCTGGCTGTCCTGGAACTCACAGATATCAGCCTGCCTCTCTGAGTGCTGCAATTAGAGTTGTATGCCCCCATGCCTCGCTGAGTTTATTTTTATTTTATGTATAGGGGTGTTTTGTCTGTATGTATATCTATGCACATGTGTGCCTTATGCCCAGGTAAGTCAGAAAAGGGCATCAGGTCCCGTGGAAGTAGAATCACAGACAATGTGAGCTGCTGTGTGGGTGCTGAGAACTGAACTGAGATTCTCTGAGACATCTCTTTACCCCAATTGTCTATTGAATTCAAACCAAAATCCTTAGGTTACTTTGCCTTATCCTCCCCCAGGTGCTACGTAAGTCATATCGTCATCTTAGTTTCCCATCCTGTCTTTTCTGTCTCTTTCTTGGAAGCTCAGCTATTTCTAGATGTTTGTCTCGGTATATTTTAGTCTGCATTAATACACACCTACTTCAAGCATAATTCCAGCCCTTTTCTGCCCAGCTAAGTTCTAGTTCTGTTTTTTTTTGTTTGTTTGTTTGTTTTCATTGTTTTAAACTTCATTTAGGGTGCTGGAGAGACGGCTCAGTGGTTAAGAGCGTTGTCAGCTCTTGCAGAGGACCCGGGTGTGGGTCTCATGGCACCCACATGGCAGCTCACAACCCTCTGGAACTCTAACCCCAGGAGATCCCATGCCGGTCGCTGGCCTTTTTAAGGTCCTGCAAGTACAGGGTACACATAAACCACTGTAAGCAAATAAATGAAAAGTATTTATTAAGTATTTAGGGATAAGGTCTCACTCTGTGGTCCAGGCTAACCTCAAACTCAGAGACAAACCTGCCTCAACCTCCTGAGTATTCCGACTTCCACACAAATAAGTGTGGTAAGACATTTTAAAAACCTCATGTTGTTCTCAAGGTGAAGATAACTTTTTATAAATGTCCTAAAGAAATATAGTAGCTTTCTGTTTATCCTTTTTGCAAGAAGAGAGGGTGGAACGTTCACTACGGACATTCTCACATTGGTCTTCATGTGGCTCTTTCAAGCGGCTTGCTTGACCTTGCTATCAAAATGTACTTGACAGCTGTTTGGATGCATCTCTGTAGGCTCTGTGGGTTGTTTTGTTTTCTTTTTTTCTCTTACAAAAATTTTAAATTTGCCAGGTGTTGGTGGCGCATGCCTTTAATCCCAGCACTCGGGAGGCACAGGCAGAGGAGCTCTGTGAGTTCAAGACCAGCCTGGTCTACAAGAGCTAGTTCCAGGACAGCCTCCAAAGCCACAGAGAAACCCTGTCTTGAAAAAAAAATTTATTATTTGATAATTTTAAACACATCTAGATCATACCCAGCCCAAATCCCTCTTCCCATTACCCTGGACAGTCTCCAGTATACACACCTCCCACCTTCACATTTTTGAAATATTTTATCTGTGTGTATGAGTGTTTTGCTTGCATGTGTGTCTGTGTACCATGTGCTTGCCTGGTGCTGGTGGAGGCCAGAAAAGGCCATTGGATCCCCTAGAACTGGAATTACAGTCATGAGCTACCATATAGGTGCTGGGAATCAAACACCAACCCTCTGGAAGAACAGTCAGTGTTCTAACTACTGAGCCATCCTTCCTAGTCCCTTATTTTTCTTTTCTTTCTAAAAAATTTTTACTTTTTGGCTTTTTGAGACAGGGTTTTTCCATGTAGCCCTGGCCTTGAACTCAGAGATCCACCTGCCTTGCCCCCAAGTGCTGGGATTAGAAGTATGTATAGCCGGATGGTGGTGGCGCACACCTTTAATCCCAGCACTCGGGAGGCAGAGGCAGGCGGATCTCTGTGAGTTCGAGGCCGGGCTGGACCGACAGCCTCCAAAACAATACAGAGAAACCCTGTCTGGTAAAAACCAAAAAAAAAAAAAAAAAAAAAAGTATGTATCACCATGCCCAGTACTTTGTGCTTTTAAATATATACATTTATACATTTTGTGTATATATGTGTACAGGCACATGCATGCCGCATGGGAAGGTCAGGGTCAGTTCTTGCC